GCTGAGCTGCTCCTCCTCCCGCCGGGCTGGCCGCGCTCGCTCAGTGAGTGGAAAACTTGCTGCCCTTCGAGCTGTTTATATAGTTGCCTCTTGTCCCCGCGAGCTCATTATGTAAACTGTCAGTCAGACTCAGGAGATCCCTCCCTCCCCGTTTTTTTTTTCATCTTTCTGGAAGAGGAACCAAATGTTGCCGAGAGTCGTCAGATCCAGAATTAATACCCTGCTGCTACTGCTGCTTGTAAACTGACCACCAAGGAGTCGAGCTGATTATTAACAAGCAGGGCATCTGTTGAGATATTTACAGCTCTCGCCACTGAGATGCTTCCCCTGGAAATCAGACGCAGTGTTCCTAGAGAGAAGGAAACTCTACCACTGGCAGCGCTCAGAGATGAAAAAGGTGTCCTTTTAAAAACCACCGTGTTCATTCATCTAACTTCTACATGGACAGCCATCTCACGTTAAAAAAACCCTGATAAAATCCGAAGCACGAAAGTTCACGTGTGTGCGTGTACATACAGATATAGACACCTACACACTCTTGGTAGCAGGTAGAAATGAGACGTCAGTCTGCTTGTTGAGAAACCGAAATACTGTACCTATTTCTTTGCGGATTTCCCCGCCCCTTCTAAACATCTACAGGCTGCTTGTTTGGCAGGTCACTCTGATTAACTCGCCTCCAGCGTGAGGCGCACGTGCGGAAAGACCCTCGGTGTCTCACTAATTGTTGTGGGCATTTCTACCAATACCAATTAGAGCAGTTGAACATTCAAGAAAGGAGGAGGCACAAGCTCTCGACATTTGTTCGGCCTCCCCCTCCCCCAATGCAGTTTAATGAATCATTGCCCCCCCCTTCCCACGTTAGTATATTTCCCCCGTACTGTACTTGTAAAGAATCATGTGCAGTTTAGTGAAGAAATGTATCGTGCAATTAATTTTCCTTCAAAAACGCCGCCGGCTGTTTCACGGAATAAAACTATCACACCCCCTAAGAAGATAAACGCACTTCTTCAATGAGACGAGGAAAGGAGAGAGTGAGGTCCAAGAGAAGAAACTCAGAATACCGCCCCCACCACCTCTGGCCCTTCTTGAGATGGAAGAACACCCGGCTCTGTCGGAGAGCACCCTTCTCCTTAGCGTTCACCGCACAAGATCGCCGTCGGGGTGCCTCACCTCTCTCTAACTTGTGCAAAACAGAAATCTTACAGGCTCACATGGTCTCCTGGCGGTGGGCTGGTGGGTGTGCCAGTAAACCCCTTGGTCTGACTGCAATGTGTGCTCATTGTTGGGTCGCGTGTCCCTCATTAAAGCCAAGCACAGAGAAGGCCTTTCATGTGGCTTTTATTTCAGCTTGTTAAAAGGGAGGGAGGGGGGAGCAGCAGGGAGAAGATAAACCTTCAGCTGTATGATAATGAGGTCTTGCCACCTTTATGCCAGCCCCTGTCCAGAAGGTTTGTGCTGCCCTTCACCTGTAAAAAACCCATACAAACCCTAAAATAACAAATTGCTGCCGTATTTTAGAGAACAAACTGGTGAAGCGTTTTCTTTTTTATTTTACTAATTCCCAAACAAACTTTAGAGTGTGTTCTATGCTATTTCGCTTTCCTTAGAGAAAATGTAAACAGAGAAATGTGAATGTTTGTCTAAGCCAAAGAGATTCCTGTCATCAATTCTTCCAAAAGAGTCATGAAAGGAACTTCTGTGTAAAACGATCACAACTGCATTCCTACTCTTATCAGAACCAAAAGCAAAAAATGATGATTTAGATAAGCAATACCAACAAGGATAAGCAAAGCTGGAGCATGCCAGATGGCTGCTGGCGGGTGGGAGGGGAAATCACTTGCTTCCAAATGTATGTAAACTTCAGATGATCTTATATGACCCCGGATAAAGTTTGCACTTTTTAATTTCTTGTTTTTAAAACTGTGACTATAAATTGCTGGACACCTACTGATTTAATATTCAAATTCGGTGGTCATGTTCACCTTATTAGAATGCTTCTACTTCCTGCAAAGATCAAGGATTTCTGTGATGCCTTCCACAGATCCAGTGACACCACACACGTGGTTGGTCACCCATTCTTTTTAAAATCCATAATAGAGAAGTGTATATATATAAAAGCATTTTCTCTTAAAAAAAGAGAACCCATGTTCTTGCTCTTTATCTTAGTTTAAATCCTTTGTAACCTGCACATTAGTACTTTGATGTAATAGATGAAGGAAGGGTTTGTTTGTTTGTTTTTTAAAATTAAAGATGCCAAGTCAAGGAGTGCCTAACATTTGCTCTAAAGCATTTTAAGAAAGCATTCTATATGTGCCTCAAACACCAGCTCTCACTGACATTTCCTTGGATGGAAAAGTAGTCCTATAGAGTTAGTGAAGCTTTCTTCCCAGTATAGAACATTCATCTGCCCTGGGTGAAGAAGGCATAAAGTTAAACAAGTTTGGGAAGAAAGCATGCCATGCTTAGGGCAAAAGATCCAGGAGCTGCTCCTCATCTTCTCTGCCCATCCAGGGTATCCGCTTCAGCATCAACTGTCAACATCAAATCTGATCCTAATAGCTTTGGTACTAAATAAAATGGGAGGCCAGATAATATCAGTGCTTGATAAATGGTAATGAGTGCCTAACCTAGGGGGAACAGAAGGGCGGTGGGGCTTTTTAATTCACTATTGAAAGGCTAGCTGGGTACTGCGGGCTCTAGCAGATGTTAGTATGTGTGTGTTTTGATTTTTGACTTGTATTGGAGGTTTATTAGGCTAACCAGAGCCACCCCACGCATGGCCACTTGGCCTAGGCACCATCTGGCACAAGCCGGGCCGTGTGTAGGAGCAGGGCATCACATTGGTGCTGGAGATCCACAGGCAGCATCTACCATATGGACTCGCTCTATTCTTCCCAGCTAATGTAGGTTAAAGCAAGACAAGCAGCACTCCTTTCTTCTTTTCACGATTCCGCCAAAGCTGGCTGCAATTCTCCCAACATGCACCTTCAGAGATAGAATTTTATGCTTTAATCTGCATGCTGTGGGTATCAACTTTTCTTCCTTGTTCAAAATATTATGATGGTTGGGTAGTGAAAGGCCCAGTCCCCAGGAAACCTAGTCTCTTTCTTTTCAGCTTGCCACTACTTCTCTTCTCAAAACACTTCTCCTGCCATGGAATGATTATTTTAGTGGCATATACACTGCCCAGCAAAATCTCTCCTCTTTCTGGTGGTACAAAACAGATGTGAAACCTTTTCAAACGTGAAGGGTATTATATTGTTGTAGCTATTAAGGAGCCTGTAGTAAAATAATAGATATGAAATATAATACACCACCTGTTTTTTGTTTACAGAGAGGTTAGATAAAATGTTGCCATAACTAACAGAAGGTGGCTGGATCTAAAAGTTAGCAGAGAGTAAGTTTGAAGTATAGTCTTTTATGGTTATATTGATTCTTTGCCTCTATTGTACCAACCATATGGGAGTACTCAAGATAGGACCTGCGTGGGCCTCAGCTGTTTATATGTTTACTTGCTTGCTTGCCACAACCTAAGATCATATTCTTAGATGTCACATGAATTAATCCAGAATGAACTCTTGCTGCTGGATTCTACAGCCACAATCTGTACCAGATACTGGAACTAGAAATGCTGCCCAACTATAAATGTATTTAGCAGGACCATTCTATAGGAGTATAATCAGAAGTAAGCGCCACTGAGTTTGATGTGGCCTACTCCCAAGTAAGTGGATACAGCATTATAGCCTGAGTGGATGAACTGTATGACTTTTAATTGATGTATTAGTCAATTAGATCTGTATATAGGTAGGATAATATTATGAAGGGGAAAAAACCCTCTGTTTTTTGGATAATGCATATGCATGTCAGAACCAGCAACATCTGAGATGGTTGCAACAAAAGAATATGGAGCCTTCTGGCACCTTAAAGACTAGCAAGTTTGTTTGACATAAACATCTGTGGATTGTAGGCCACTTCATATGCATGAAGAATATATATGAAGGAGTGGGTTACTATCATTGGATGCTTATGGTAAATATAACCAGCTAGTTTTAAAGCTACCCCAAGAATCATTGTCATCTTTGAAGACACATAATCTTCTTCATTAGTGTGTCTGTCACATGCATTTTTGTTCCCAATTAATGGTATTTCTGTAGATTTTAAAGCAATAAAATAAGTTGACTCAATTTGCCATCTGGCTCTGACAGTCATTCCTAGAATTCTCATAAAGACGTACAGCACACTCTGCACATGTCTACTTGGGAGAAAAAGTTCATTTGACTCCACTGGGTGTTACTCTGAGTATAGGATTGCTACCTCAATGAAAGCAGAAAGCTTTTGACTGCCCTAAGTATGACAAGATGCTTACATGCTGGCAAAAAGTAACTGATCTGTGCCAAGTGATATTTAGTGTTATTTCAGAGACCCTTTTTTGAGGAATGTTTAATCTGGTCCAGGTGTCTCATTTTCTGGTTTTTTTCCCTTGTAAATACCACACAACTGCATTCTATAGGGCACTTACAATGATTTGACTAGGAGCTGATTTGACAGGGAGTTTAGTTTCTTATAGACTTCCAATTTGAATCTATTTGCAATTTCAAGATCCTAGCATGTGCTTATTTCTGAAGAAATAATAGTACCCAACATTGTTTTACTCAATTAAACATATAGCTTGATTTGTTGGCACTATACCTTTAGTGCTATAAATACTGGGAATGCTGCTTTTGTAAACTCTGATCCTGGACACAAATTACTTGGAGGACATGTCCTGTTAATGTCACTGATAATTCTACAGGTTCAGGATGGTGCTGCTAATGGTTTATTTTACTCACACAATATATTTAAGCAGGCTGATTTATACCCTGCTTAAGGATTTAATCATTGATTTATGCTGTGATCCAGCTCAGAGTTTAGTTCACTTGCCCTGTGCAGAGAAAGCCTGTCTTCTTAAAAGTTTCTTATTTCT